TTATTGTTTTGGGGAAGAAGATTACAAAGGTTTTTGCAGAAAATAAACTCTAATGATCTCTCTACAAAACATTGGATTGAACCCTATTTATAGCCCATAGGAACTAGGCGTTATCAACATGATTTTCACCTAATCGTCTTAAGCCTTGTGTAACGGTCGTGATCTATGCGTCATCAACATAACCCCCTGTGACCCATAAGATGGGATCTTTTGCTAATAGAAGCTATATTCTCAGGATGAGACGTGACCTTCCAAAAAGTGTAAGTTGTTGCTATTGCAGTGTGCATGTGACTAGGTCAACAATGTTTATCGACTTGAGAGACTTGAGTTGAGATTTGAACTCGAGGATCCAAATTGAGTTGAGATGTCTGAGTCAGAATGCCCGAATCTGGCGTCGACATGTGGGGTCCTTAATGGGGGCAAGTTCTCGATCTACTTTTGGTCCGAGCTTAGACTTAACTGATTTTTGGTATTTATCACAAAGCAATGACAAAAACTTTGTCAATCTGGTGTTTATCTACTACTAATGTAAGAGAACTTACCTATAAAACTTTATCTAAATACTCTGTTATGAATCGTCAAAATCTTTGTACTTCTCTATTGTTCTCTTATCATATTTAATTAGGAGAATTGAGTCAAAATTTGTTTGTAAAAATGAGGAATAATATAAAAACATAACCCCCCCCCCCCCAAAACAAGAACTACAACTCTTGCATTGGAAGAACCATACAACAGTGGCAAGTGACACTATTAAACGGGGTTCAAGAAAAGCATTTTAGATTGAAGTGTGTGCGCACGTGCATACATGTGTGCAATATCTTTGGAAGCTCCCATATTCATATATAATCACACGTGCAAACATGTGTGTGTGAGTGCGTGTAGAGAGAGAGAGAGCCAGAGAGGTGAGGTGAAAGGCACGTGGATGGATCCATTTTAGTATTATCAAAAATTGTATTCTAGCCATTGATTTTGTGTTGGTTTATTTATAACCGTTGATAGTATAATTAATAAAATATCGTACTTATAAATACACTGTAATATCAAAAAACGTGCATTTATTGAGTAATATATATTTTTTAAATAACAATTTTCTTTTTAATTATGCAATTTATAATTAAAGTAATCTAAAAGAAAATAAGAGGGAAGTAAGTGTGATTAATGAGATCTAGTATTCAGAAGTGAGCTGACATTACAGACTGTGCAAAGAAAAATAAAGGTTTCGAGCGAGAAAAAATTTATTTGGATTAATACTGTACAATTGGATTAAAATAGGTAATTATTATACTTTTATAAATTAAAATTAAAATTTTAATTTTTAATTAAAATTAAAATCTTGATAATTATAAATATGAGATAGATGGATAAAAGATAATAAGAGATATTTGTTTATAGGGTTCTTTGGAAATCGGTACATCTAATTAAATTTATTTGACAAAAAGTATATAGAATAAAATGTGAGTTAAAAAGACATAAATGTCCATTTTAGGATCATTTAATTTAAAATTTTTTATTTTTAATGCACCTTGATTCATGGGTGTTAGTTAATACATATAAATACGTATTTAATACACATTTGATTCATGTGTATTTGTTAATACATGTAAATATATATACGTGTATACTTGTTTATGTACATATATAAACGAATATATATANACTACAAATTTTGATATGTAAGATGCTAAAGTTGCAATCATCCTTATTTTTGAGCTTTCAAGAAGCAAGATGCCAGAGTTCGAATCTCATCAACGGTGGTGGGGGTTTTAAAGGGTGATATGGTGTCACCGAGAATAAAAATCCGTTGGGAAAACATACCATAATCACTCGTTTCTACTCTCTATATGTTGTTTTGGGAATTTTTTTTTTTTCACGTTGCGATGTGGAGTGTCCACAAAAGACTATGGTGGCACTCCTTCCCTATTTTTGTTCTCATTTTCAACATAAAAACACTTCAATTTGTTGCTTCACCTTGCAAAGGGATTGTGCCCAATTTTAGTAACAAGATCTACTAAAGTAGATTGGTATTGTTCATATAATAAAAGTAGATCTTGGTTCATAGAGTTCCAAGAAGGTAAGAATCCTATTATGTCTGATGCTTCATCGGTCAATATACAAGTGGAACCTGCAGTATGAGCGAGTTATGCGAAAAATCACTTTGTTTTTTTCCAATTTTGAAATAATTTGGGTGGAATAGGGTTCTGCAGGGAAACTTATTACATCTCCCCATCCATACACAACTCTGAACTGAAGATACTCTTACTTCCATTCATGTCAACGACCAAAAATCTCCCTCCAATTATAACCCAGGTCAAAATAATCAAGTGGGTCCCTCTATCTAATTTTTAAATTCATTCGGAACAAAGAAAACAATTATTTTGGAATTACTTAGATACAATAAACCATAGTTTAAGCCTCGTACAAGCTGGTGATGGGTGGTAAATTCAAAGACACAGAGAACAACACAAACAACAGAGATGATCAGAAATATTGTGGGCTGGGGGCCACTTGGTCTCTTTCTTTGGGCCACGTAAAGTAGTTAATTGAGTTATTTGGAAACTGATACAACTAATTAGACTTATTTGATAAAAAATAAATATAATAAATTATTTTAGAAAAAAGTACACAGCTGAGTTACAAATACATAAATACCTATTTTAGTGCACTTTAATGCACTTTGATTTATGTGTGTTTGTTAATATATATAAATACGTATTTAATGCACCTTGATTCATGTGTATTTGTTAATACATGTAAATATGTATATGTGTATATATAATTTGTTAATATATGTGTAAATATGTATATGTGTATATATAATTTGTCAAAATCTCTTATCTTTAATGCACTTTGATTTATGTGTATTTGTTAATATATATAAATACGTATTTAATGCACCTTGATTCATGTGTATTTGTTAATACATGTAAATATGTATATGTGTATATATAATTTGTTAATATATGTGTAAATATGTATATGTGTATATATAATTTGTCAAAATCTCTTATCTTTAATGCACTTTGATTTATGTGTATTTGTTAATATATATAAATACGTATTTAATGCACCTTGATTCATGTGTATTTGTTAATACATGTAAATATGTATATGTGTATATATAATTTGTTGTTAAATCTCTTATTTAAATTTTGAATTATCTTTAATGCACTTTGATTCATGCGTATTTTTTTTTTTTGAAAAGTGATTTTGTTTTCAAATTATATTTAATGCACATTAATTCAAACTTTTTTTTTTTGGAAAATAGTTTTTTTTTTAAAATTAATTTAATATCCGAATAATGTAATAGTATAATAATAACAGTGTAACAAATACACTGTAACAAAGACAGTGTAACAAATATACTGTAACAAAAACAGTGTTCAGTAGTTTTATGTATATGGTAACAAATTCAAAATGGAGATGAACTATTTTGAATGAAATTATNCCGAATAATGTAATAGTATAATAATAACAGTGTAACAAATACACTGTAACAAAGACATTGTAACAAATATACTGTAACACAGTGTTCAGTAGTTTTATGTATATGGTAACAAATTTAAAATGGAGATGAACTATTTTGAATGAAATTATATGTTTGATAAAATATAATAGTACAATATTTTGTGTAAATAGATTGTTACACTATTATTGTTATACTGTTACATTGTTAGTGTTACTCTGTTATACTTTTATTGATACACTGTTATACTTTTATTGTTACACTATTACACTATTTGGATATTAAATTAATTTGAAAATAAAACCATTTTCTNAATGAAATTATATGAAATTATATGTTTGATAAAATATAATAGTACAATATTTTGTGTAAATAGATTGTTACACTATTATTGTTATACTGTTACATTGTTAGTGTTACTCTGTTATACTTTTATTGATACACTGTTATACTTTTATTGTTACACTATTACACTATTTGAATATTAAATTAATTTAAAAATAAAACCACTTTCTANAGATTGTTACACTATTATTGTTATACTGTTACATTGTTAGTGTTACTCTGTTATACTTTTATTGATACACTGTTATACTTTTATTGTTACACTATTACACTATTTGGATATTAAATTAATTTGAAAATAAAACCATTTTCTAAAAAAAAATGCATGAATTAAGATGCATTAAAAGATAATTCAAAATTTAGATAAGATATTTAACAACAAGTATAAATATACGTACATACATAAGTATTTATATATATATAAATATATATAAAAATATGTATTTATATATATATAAAAACGTATATATATACTTGTTTGAATTTCAAAATTTGTATTCATGTGTATATATATGTGTGTGTGTGTGTGTGTGTGTATTAAAGTTCTCCCATAAAATTAGGAGATGTTTAATGCACCACTTTTCAAAGAAAAATGGTACATTAAATACACATGGATTAATGGAGGGCAAAAATATCACAATAAAAATAGATAAATTCAAATTATGTACTTTGATACAATTAAGTATCAAAATTAAGTACTTAATAACAAACATTTTTTAGTGTGTACTTTTTACCAAATAAGTCTAATTTGGTGTATCCTTACAATTTACCCTAGTTAATTTCATTTGCTTTGCTGCCTCTGAACTCTCACACCATACACTTTCTTCTGTGGTGTTTTCCTACTAAGAATAGGGTGAACAAGTAACTTAATAATAGTATGAAATGAAAAGGAAAATAAATGAATAATGGTACTTGAATTTAATTTATTGATCTAATCTCTTGTCGTTAGATTAACAATATCTTCCGATAACGGATAGAATTCACTCTAATCCAAAATTAATAGGATTTGTTTTTTACAGGGTGTCTAGGACTACACTCTCGAGTTTGGATATTGACGNATATATATATATATACATGCACACACAAGCAATCAAAAACAGTTTTCTACATATATGTGTGTGTGTATTTTATTATATACTTGACCATTCATGCATTATAATTAGGATCAGAAAGGGAAACATTGGTATAGAAGATGGTGAGGAAGAGAAAGGCTAGTGATCAGGGAGAAGAAGAGAGAGAAAAGACTACTGATGGGGATATGCAGTGGGCTCAGATGGTGAATGGTGCTGCAGCAGCAGTAGGTGGGGCCCGATGTGCCCAGAAACACTATGTTGGGGTGCGCCAAAGGCCATCAGGGCGATGGGTGGCCGAGATAAAAGATACAATTCAGAAGATTAGAGTATGGTTGGGCACATTTGACACTGCTGAGGAAGCTGCTAGAGCTTATGATGAGGCTGCTTGCTTGCTTCGTGGTGCCAATACGAGGACAAACTTTTGGCCTTGTTCCCAATCTACTTCTAATTCATCCCCAGCTCTTCCCTCCAAGATCACCAATCTTCTCCTCCAAAGGCTTAAAGCTAGAAACAATGCTTGTTCTTCCCCGGCTGCTTCGTTTCATGATCACCACCAACAAAAGGAAATATCAGATACCCAATTTGATGATTTCTTTAACATGTCCAATGTGACCAACCGCAAAAACATTGGTAATAATACCAGTATAAGTAATTCTAGTTGTATGAGTGGTTGTATGACAGCAAGTGTTGAATCAAGTTTCATTCAAAAGGGAGGTAGTGGTGTGAGAGAATGTGAATTGGACAATAATTGGACTAATGTTGATCAGTTATTGAATTGTTTTGACCATATTGGAGGCGAGGGAGAGCAGAAACGAGGGGGAGAAGAAAAAATGGTTTGGGGATAATGGATTTTCAGTTGGTGGATTCTGTTGGATCTTCTTGTTATGGTTTACAATCATTTCAGATTGCAGAACAGATGACATAGCCAATGCAACAACAGGAACATTATGGAGAACAGCCCTCGATGCTTACAGAGGCGATGAAGAGGATGAAATACGAACGCAATTTTTCTGCTTCACTTTACGNCAACAACAGGAACATTATGGAGAACAGCCCTCGATGCTTACAGAGGCGATGAAGAGGATGAAATACGAACGCAATTTTTCTGCTTCACTTTACGCGTTCAATGGGATATCCGAGTGTTTAAGGCTCAATATTGAATCCGGAAACACTGAGTTATCCAACCTTGCTATCAAATGCAGAAAAAATCAAGAAGANCGCGTTCAATGGGATATCCGAGTGTTTAAGGCTCAATATTGAATCCGGAAACACTGACTTATCCAACCTTGCTATCAGATGCAGAAAAAATCAAGAAGGAAACAAGAAGGAAGATAACGAATGTGTTCAAGGGATATGGCAAGAACAAGTAGAGAGCTTTCGATTCAATTCAACAGAAATTGGGTCATCATCTTCTTCTTCTTCTTCTTCGTCTTCGTTGAGCAAGGAATGCAGTGAATTGTCTCTTTGGAGTTCTCTTGGTCTGCCTCCTATCACTATGTTATTTAGTGGACACAAGGGGCTTGAATTTTGATATTTCTGGATTCTAAAACTTTCTTTAGTCCTTTACAATTTTGTAGCATCCTGCAAATCAGGATGTACTAATCTGCACCAAGCAACAAAAAAGGTGTAATTGTAGTTTTCTCAGTAAAAAGTTTTTTTCTATATGAATACTACTAGTTTTTCAGTTCTAGACTTTCAATATATGTGGATAATCTGTTTAGAAGCAGCCCCTTGTATAGTTAGCATTAGGGCTGTTCACCCGAGTTGACGGGTAGGAAATAGTGTATTTCATCTTCCCAGCTAATGAATTGCGAAAGACCAATTTCTTGGCCGACCACGAGGGTAATGTTCTGAACCGAATTCTGTCCAAAAAATTGGCTCGATAGTCGGGCAGAAATGTGGAATATCTCACATATTTTTAGTTTTTAAGTTATTAATTTTTGGGTCATTTTAACTACTCAATTATCAATTTTTTGGGCTACTTTTACAATTAGGCTATTAAAATATAATATAAGAATGTGTAAATCAACATAATAAACCAAAAACACTAAAGAAAATACAATAAATTTGATAATATGAGTATATAAAAGGATATCGTTTTATACCAAATATATTATTTTATAAAAAAATTAAATATCTGTTCTGGTTGAATAGAAATGCAGATTTTTATGGGTATTTCGCATTCCTACCAATTTCTTCCATTGGCCGATTGAAATTTTGTAGAATTCCAATAATTGGGTGGAAAAGATGTGGAACGGGTCGGGTGGATGGAATTTTGAAGAGTCCTAATTAGAATTCCACACAACTTTAGTTACCTGACCAATGCATAGATACAAACACTAAAAGCTCAATCACTAGCCTACCAGGAGAGAAAAAACTTATGTGGAATTGAACCTTAGATCACTTGCAATTGCCCTTTAGATTCAGAGGAGAAAAAACCTGTTTGGAATTATTTTTCTTCAGAATTATTTGCAGTCCTTGTTGAGAGTAAAAGCACAGGCCCATTCCAGGGTTCACCAAACAAAGGAAAAGAAATGGTAAATTGTTTTGGCATGTATAAATACTCCTTGACATTCAAATAAGGTCCACTCTCTCACAAAGTTTGCTGCCCCCAAACCCTTTTTAAGTCTTCATTTGAATGTTATTATCATTTGACGGTAAGGTTAATAATCGAGCCGAGTTTGTTGAACTCATTTTTTTAAACAAATTTAAAAAATTATTTAAGTTTGGCTCGTTTAGAAAATAAGTCAAGCTGAACCCGAGCCTGAGCCGAACTCGAGTATTTTACATGTAAATGAGCAGAGTTTTGCGAGCTTTTTAAAACACGAGCCTAAAAAATTATTTAAATTTTGCTTGTCTAGAACACGAGTCAAGCTCAAGTCGAGTTCTATACAAACCGAGTCCGAGTAGCTCGACTCAATTTTCAGCCCTAATATTCTGTACTAGTAGAAAGGATTTTGATGCAGAGCAAGCAACGACAGCACAAAATGTAACGATCCTACATTGATTAAGTTTCGCCTCAAATGCGTCTATATAAACTCTTGGATATGCTTCTCTTGCAAAACCCATTTTCAGGGGTTCATAGCAAAGAATGTATCCAAATAGTTCTGCAGCCAAGTCTTAAGAAGAGAGGAGGCTTCCATTATAAAGTCTGCTTGGTCTGAAACCCCAATTTGTGAGGTTGATTGATGACAAACTATAAACAGATCACAAAAACCTTTATTCATTACAGAATTATACAATATATGTGCAGACACCACATTTTAGAAGTACCTTGTGGGCTACTCAAGGTGAAATTTGTTCGACTTGACCTGATAATCCTGTGTTGCCATTCTTGATATTTCTGTATAAATGTTACGTTTAAATAGTTATGTGTTCTAACCCTCTACAAATTCTGTAGATTTTAGAACAACGGTTGAGTTCAAAATAATTAGTATCAGAGCAGATATCACGTCATGATCCTAAAATATGCTAGTCCATGCCAATATTAATACAGGTTCCATGCTGGTTTGTGAAATCCCTCGATCCAGTGGAAGCTTTATGATTTGCTAAGAATATTCAAATCCCAGGCAATGATCAAAATTCTGTGTTGGTGCATTGTTTCAGTCATTTAAAAAACGAAAATGTTTTAAAAATATTTCATAAATATTTCGGAAATAGAGTAAAAATGGATAAAAAAATTCAGGTACTCATTTTCAAACCATGTTGAAATATTGGTTGAAATATATATAAACATCTCGAAATATCCTGCAACATTATGAAATATTGGTGCAAACATGTTGAAACACCTTAAATATTGGAATTTCGATTCAATTACTAATTCGTTTTTGATTTTTTTTTTTTAAAACGAAATGTTTTAATCATTTCAAAACAAAATTTTAATCCTTCACCTTGCTGATGAGTGTGTAGGAATCCCTATTGTTCCAGACAAGACCTTTGTGGTGATGTACCCTTATACCCCAACAACACTAGTATTAGAGAGGGGTGGGGGGGGAGCATAACTTCATGCTGGTGTTATGGAAGCATAGATATTGCACCTTGCAGCTGAGTGTGTAGGAATTCCCATTGTTCCAGACAAGACCTTTGTGGTGATGTACCCTTATACCCCAACACCACTAGTATAGGAGGAGGGGGGGGGAGCATAACTTCATGCTGGTGTTAAGGAAGCATAGATACTGCATACATGCTTTAGGACAATTCACTCTATGGGCATTTGATTAGTCTAGTAATCCTCAAGTGGCTGTCAATAGATAGATATGGGTGCACTATGGCATGCAACTACAAATAAAAGTTTTGAATGGTCAATCTGCCTTTGTTCGATGCCATGGTGATTTCTTTTAGATCAGGATGCTACGGGTCGCGTTGGGTTTACCTGACCCAGCTGGTCAATGGCCCATGGTGGGTAACGGGCTAGATAGTCAAATAGTTGAGCTTATTCTTCTATTCCCATCAAGCACCTCGAGAAGTGAGTGAGCTTTTTGAAGTAGGGGAATCTAGATGGTGCACGCTCTTGGTGTTCCAACTAGTCATTAATGGTCAGCATTATTAGTACGGAAAGAAAGAAGTCGGGCCATTATGGCCAATTAAGTAAACTAGTAGAAATTCGCCCACTTTTACATCATACCACAAGGAAAGGAAATTTCAATCCAAATTAACAGGTGAATAGTTCACACAATGAATAGATGAGTAGTATGTGGTTGATTTCATTTAGACCGATACATAATACTAATTTGAGACAGATATAGAGAGAAAGTGTGAATTAACGAGCCAATTAAGGGTGTCCATGTGCCAGGCCGGATCAGATTCCTTATTTTTTTTTTGGGTCGGGCTGAATTTGGGTAGTAGTAGGCCTGCTTACAGCCCAATCCGCCACTCATTGGGTGGGCCCATTGGATTTGCTAGGCAGGCTTTTTTGATATATATAATTTTATTTAAAAAAATTTTACCTTAATATTTTTGTAAATTATATTTTTTTCAATAAAAAGTACAGTAAAAATAGACAAAAAATAAATAATAAATAATTTTATTTATGAATAAGGGTGAAATTACATCATAATAGAATGAGCTAATCTCAATTAATTTAACAACTACCTATTTATCATTTGCACAACTCTACCATTTAAAATTTGAAAGTTTCAATTTTTAAGTTTGAAACTTTTGACGATAGACGGGCCGGCCCTTGGGTCAATCCTCTCTTGAAAAATATTGGACTCGAACTTGATCAGATTAACTTGGGTTGAATAACAGGACCTGTGGGCCAACCCCGCCAATACACAGCCCTAGAGACCAATAGCCAATAAAAGAGATATTCTCCCTTCCTTTTCTTTGCTACCTTTCATTAGGCTAGCTCACTTTACAATGCTACAGCCCACCCTTTGTCGATCTAGGCTTTTAGTGGGCTGCCTATGGAAGAGGTCCTAATGAGCCAACTTTGTAGGGTGTTAATGGGCCAAACACCCCAATGCACGCGCACCCACACATAGCGTAGGAGAGACTCTCACTAGTTCAGAGATTGACGAAAATAAAATATGTGCAGTCTTATACTCACACACACAAAAACTATTTAGGTGATTAATAGTGTGTGTATGTATACATATATATATTGGTCATTATATAAACATAGTGTTTGTATCTATCACTTGTACAAAAAGAGCTTGTTGGCACCTTCAAGAGTTCACCTTTAGACCCTTGAATCTTTGATTGTGTAAAAGAAGTCTATTGACCAGGGAACAATTCAACAAAATTCCTATTTGAACAAGAAGCTCAAAAAACTAACTTATAAAAAAGTTAGTGCCAGCCCTCCCCCTCCCCCTCCCCCCTCTTGCCCTTTGATCTTGCTGGTAGGGCTATGGGTGTAGAATATCAAAAGTTCATTCTCCTGCTCATGTAAATTATGATCATGAGAGCTGCTTCCTCATGACTTTGGTCACTCAATATGAGAGAAAGTCCCGGCGATATTTCAGCATACTTTTAACTTAATTATGTTTTTTTATTGGGGTTGTAAATGTAACATTGTAAACTCATAGCCAAAAATGCCTAATCAAAGCTATCTAGAACCCGCCTTTGTTTTACAAACATTTGGCTCGACTCCAGAGATTTCTTTCTTATGCAAATTATGGATTATATCCTTGTAGTTTGTTTTAGTAACACATTAGGCCGTTAGGTGCTGGTTTTTGTTTAGGTGAAAAGCTAGGAAAAGTTTCACAAAAAAGTCCTTTCAAACCGTTTGGAGTATTCTTTAAAAAGCTGAAGAAGTTGGAAAAGTTCGTTTGGAGTTAATTTTTATTTTTTTGCTTTTTTTGTGTCAAGATAAGAAAATAATTATATATATGTATAGATTATGAATAATAATTCCTAAAATATGAAAATAATAATATTTTATTAATATAATAAACTAAAAAGTTATCTAGAATTGGTGAGAAATTTCTAAAAAATTGGAAGAAAAACTCATAAAATAAGGTTCTTGAATCAGTCTAAATTAGTTTTTTTAGATCTAAAAAATTATTGCATAAACCAATAAAAATGTCAAGG